CCAGGCTGCCCAGGGAGGCTGTGGAGTCTCCTTCTCTGGAGATATTCCAGCCCCGCCTGGACAAGGTCCTCTACAGCCTGCTGTGGGTGACCCTGCTTGGGCAGGGGGGTTGGACTAGATGACCCACAGAGGTCCCTTCCAAACCCTACCATTCTGTGATTCTGTGATTCTATGATGCACGGGCACGTGTTTGCTGCGATGACGTGATCCAGGGCGATGCTGTGCCACAAAAGCAAGCATGAGAGCAAAAGATGAAAGGGAACGATCCTCCCCTGGCGCTCCCGAGCATCCAGCCCAGCTGCCAGTCACCAGCAGCAATTTCTGACAAACAACCCAACAACGAATTCGCCTTTTTTATTTTCCTGGGAGTGTGGGAACTCCCACGCAGCGACTCAAAATGTGACAAGGCTGGAAGAAAATTGAGGATTCTCTTCTGGAAACCAAATTGTGCAGCTGCTTGAAAAAACACATGCAAAAAAAAGTATTCTTTTGAAGATGTAAAAACGTCCCCTTGCAGTGGCTTCTGCCTTGCCATGAGACGTGCTCCTACAGACTGCTTGCAAGAGGAACAGCCCTCGTTACGTGAGCCACATGCAAGGTGCTCTCTTTATTGGATAACGTGCGATTTGCATTTCCCAGGTTCTTCTAATTTAAATTTGGGCCACTAAAAACACTGAATAATTGGCCAGCAACCTCACCCCTCACTTGGGTCAGCTCTGAACATGCATGACTAATTCAGAGAGTGTTATCTGTAATGACTTCTATCTGTGTAATGCTCAAAGTTCAGGTCTATTTTTAACCTTGGCTTTCCCTCCAACGGCATTAACGTCCCTGCCAAGACACCTTGTCTGACGCCAAGCACGGGGACGGAAGGGCCGGGCCCGCGGGAGCTCGCTGGAGGACAGCAGCAGCAACCCTTCCACTCCATCTTCAGGAATCTGACTTCTCCATCTCCCTCCAGCTGGTTCAGATGCCAACTACAAAAGCGATGTTTTCTGAGCTGGCTTTCCTTGAGCAACTTTACCACGAGGACATTATTTTTAACGTCGTTACGATTTCTTTAACATGTAACTGTTGAAACCATTAACCGTTGAAAACCGGTACGCACGACCTAGTGTCCAACTGTGTTTTGCGTGCGCTAAATTGCATCACACGACACTTTTGAGCGCGTGTTGCTTGAGTTCCTACATTGCCATGACAGAGGCCACGGCTGGCTTTCTGCTCCTCTGACACTTACTGTCTCCACCAAGATCTAAGGCCCCAGTTCCAATAACACAGTGACTCAAAATACCACATTATTTTAAAATTCAGGTTGTGCTATAGAGGGAAAAAAGCCTACAAAGACTGATAAGGCAGCGGGGGCTCTGCGTGCCGGGTCCGGGCTCCCTGGAGCCCTCCCCACTGCTGCGGCTGCATCAGAGCCCTCGGATCCAAAGCCCTCACCATCAGACCCAGCAGGGTATCAAACGGCACCGCCACAACTAGGATTGAACTGGAAAATCCACCAGGCTGCACCTCTCGTACGTGGTTCCCCGTTTGAAATAAAAATCTTCTTGCTAAATTGCGGGCATTTAAAGTGTGTGCACACAGTTACCTGGTGCTGCTCTCCACTATACATGCTCTTTTTTTTTTTTTTTTTTTTTGTAAAGGTAGGAAGGTATCACTATTGCTGCCACCACTGCATCAGAAACACACAGACATGAAAAAACCTTTAGAATTTGAATTTTACTGTGTAATTTCAGAAAATGAACTCTACTCTTCCACGTGCATTACAGCCAGAGGACTGTCTTGTTGCCGACTGGGGAGTTTTAACTCAGGCACTACACGTTAATCGTGCTATTTATGAACAAAAAATGATGAGACAAAATATTAATTTTTGAGGCTTATCCACACCCTTTAATACATAAATCAAAAGTCAGGGCTGTTTGACTTCAGTGTATCTTATGCACAATGGTGTAGTCATAAAAATTACATGCTCGAGCATATGCAAGAATTACAGCTTTTCACTTCTGATTTTGTTTCTGAACGCATACATTAATAATTTGACTAATGTAGCGCGACTTCTAAGATAAAAGTGCCGAGCGTCCCCCAATCAATTCCCCTGCAGTGGTAAGCCAAAATTTTTTCTGAACTGATGCTGTGACATAGATGAGATTGGTGAATTAAACGTGATCAGCACGGGCTATCTGTATTAGAAAGAAGATGAGCAAAAGCAAGCTGCTCATTACGAGCAGCACAAAGGGCGCCTTCGATTGGGGTCCTGCCCCCGATTTACCTCCCTCTTGCAGCTTTTGTTGGGAAGAGC